CCTCATTCCCCTGCTGGTTGGGTCCTGTCAACTGCAGGGTGGCTACACAGGACCTGTCCTCCTCTGAGTCCTCACTGTCACTGAGCCCTGGATGGGCCACATGACACCATCCCCCCTTCAGGGCCCCCTTCCAGATATGAGTCTGGACCATGCTTCTGGGGACATGCCCTAGGCATATGCATGGAGGTTGACTGTGGGTTCCAAGGAGCAGTTTTCCAGCCCATAGCCTTTCCACTCAACCAGATACTGGAGCCATCTGCACTGTCTCCAGGAGTCTAGGATCTGTACTACTTCGTATTCTTCATGCTCTTCCACCAAGATGGGTGGAGGAGCCTGGCCCGGGGGCTAGAGTAGATGCAGAGGCATGGCGGGATCAGGAGGGACCAATGGAAAACTGGGTATATTCTGAGGGTGGGCAGGAGGGCTAATCAATAGGCCATGGGATTCACCTGTTCTGTGATCAGAAAGGGTCCAATGAACCAAGCATCCTCACAGAGTTGTCATTTCAAGTCCACACCTTCTTTATATGCCTGCTGCAGTTGCTCCTGGAGGACTGTGTGGATGGCCTGGAGCTCTCCTACAAGGTCATTAGCAGAGAGGAACGCTGAAGCCAGTATGGCCTGGGGCAGGAATTGTGGGTGGTATCTATAGTTGGCCATAAAGGATATCTGGCAAGTGGAGGCATGCACTGCATTGTTATAAGCGAATTCAGCCATGGGCAATAAGGCCAACCAGTCATCATATTGGTGGTTTACATAACACCTCAACTACTGTTCCAACAGGGCATTGGTGTGTTCCATCTGCCCATCCCATTAGGGGTGGTGAACTGACGACAGATGTACCTGGGTACCCAACAAGGAGTGTAGAGCTTGCCAGAAGTGGGATGTGAATTGTACCCCATGATCCAACACTAGATATTCTGGTAATCCATGAAGTTGGGAAAATATACTGTAGGTACAGGTGAGCAGTCTCGCAAGCTGCGGGGAGGCCAATACAGGGAATGATGCACATGCATGGATATAGCTACTCTGGATTTTTGGTTTTTTAAAAATCCCCCATTTGGGGGAGGGGAGCAGTTTCCTGTGAACCCAGAGGTTCCCCTGGGTTTGTAGTAAAATCCCCCCTCTGTACATGCCCTCATTGGGTGGCTTTTTTGTCTGTATTCAGGAGCTGTGTTTGGAATTAGATATATAGATTTCTAATACAGTGGGATTTATTTATTTGGTGTATTTCAGACATTTATATGCTGCTTCTCCAGAAGCGTGCTCAAAGTTACTCATAAAGTGAAAAAAACAAAATACAATAAAATCCTAACATTGTAAGAATTATCAATTAAAAAAAAGGCATAAAAAGATGCCAGGGACACAAAACATTGTTTGGCAGCCTAAAATAGTTATCAGTCTAATAAGCAGATCGGCTTGTAAAAAATCGAACCCTTCAGTTAAAAGCCTGGGTTCAAAATATTTTGGTCTGCCCCCTAAAGGACAGTAAGGCAGGTGCCAGGCAAGCCTCAAGGAGGAGGGCATTCCATGGGTGAGGTGATACCACTTATGTTCTGACTGGAATTCACCCCTGTGAGTTTTGCATGCAGGGGCACAGAGAGCAGGTCTTCGGATCTTATCTTAGATCTTTCTTCCCTCTCCAAAATGTAAAGAGTAAAATAATTTCTATCTATCCTACTTGTAAGAGGCATTCCCAATCTTTAATGGGACAGGAGCACTGCTATGGATGGCCTTCTGATCCTTTCCCTGAGCCAAAGGGAAGGGCTTTCCGCACCATCTGTACAAAGCCACTGTTCTGAACCAGGAATGCATATGTGTGCTTAGAGAACAACAAATCAAATTGCATCCCAAATTGCACCTGTTTTTTAAGTCACTTAAGGTAACTAATTTGTTTGCAAGGACTTCCAGCATTTAATAACTATTAGGAACGTTCAGGTCTCACAATTATTCTGGTGTCTCCCTCTCTGATTTCATTTTTCTGGGCAGGAAGGGGAGATAGTGACTCAGCAAATACATGCCTGAGAGGGACATTAACCAATGTTAATGTCACTCAGAATTGTTCTGATTCACATTTCTATGTCAATAATCTGCCTGTTTCTGTGCCATTCTCTGCCAATCATCACACCATTTCAGTTGCTTTGAGAGGATTTTCTGATTTCTGGGTTCTTTTTGCATAAACATTCCAGCCTTTTCCCTGGTACAAATTGTAAGGAAAGCAGGAAGCTACTGGGTCCTATTTTAACCAAAATCAGGGCATTGGAGAGAAGGAGGGTTGCCAACTCCAGGTAGGGTTGCCAGATCCCCCAGTGGAGATAGGGGTCCCCTGCTCCCAGGTCCCACCTTCCTACTGCCAATCAGCTGGCCATGGGGGGAGGGACTCACTGTCCGGGGTCAGAGCAGACTCAGCCAAGACCAAGGGGACAAGATAGAAGCACTAACCAGAAATGTAAGTCAAGAGTTCAGTCCAAGAGTCACACAAGGGAAGGCAGCCGAGAGTCCAAGAAACAGAGTTCAAACAGGTCCAAGAGGCATTGTCAAACAGGTCCAGGGTCAAAGCCAAAAGTTCAGGAGTAGCAGCCAGAAACAGGTCCAGGTGGTGTGGTTGGTTGCACGTCTCCAGGAAGGTGACAAGTTGCTCCCACGCCTTCCCCCTCTGAAACTCCACCCTTTATTGGCAGCTCACAGCTGGGTTTCGTTGCTTGCGAGAGCACTGTCCATTAACTCCAGGTGTTCCTCTTGATCTGGCAGTCACCGGGCAGCAAGGCGTGCGCTCTGCCTCCTCTCAAGGAGCTCCAAGCGTGCTCGTCTCCTCCTGCATTCCCCTTGCTCTGGGGACAGAGGAGGCAAGGCAGCCTGTGAAGTTTCCCCATGATCTTAGGTTATTGAGGCGCCACCTCTTCGGGTTGTCACTTCCATGTTCCCAGTGCTCATGGGGCTGGAGTTCCCGCTGTCCTCATCAACTGGGGCACTAGGACCTGCCTCTGCTATCTCAGGGTTGTTAGGAGCATCAGCTGTCTGAGTCTCAGCAGTGCTCATGGGGCTGTTATCAGCATCAGCTGAGTGCTCTTCAGTTAAAGCAGACTGGCCCACAACACTCACCCAGAAAAAGAGGGAAATCCAGCACCATTACCTACATGACCCAGGTGACATCATCAATTCTGAGACATTGGGTGTGTGTGTGAAACTCTGGTATTTAGGCAAAAACTCTATGGTAAAAGACAAACTTACCATAGAGTTTTTGCCCAAATACCAGAGTGTCACCCCCAACATCCCAGAAGTGATGATGTTACTTCTGGGTCATGTATGCAGTGATGCAGACATGTCATAGTATCTAGGCTGGGCCTCCCTGCTGCTCCTGGTAAGTTCTCCCTCCCCCCACCCCCCCTTAGGGACCTGGCAACCCTTACTCCAGGATGAGAAATTTCTGAAGATTTGGGGGTGGAGTCTGGGGATGGCAGAGTTTGGGGAGGGACCTCAGCAGGGTATAATGCCATACCCTTCAAAGCATCCATTTTCTCCAAGGGAAATGATCTCTGTAATCTGGGAATCAGTTGTAATTCTGGGAGATCTCCAGGCCTCACCTTGAAGCTGATAACCCTAGGAATTAATTTGTGCTAAAGGAATTAATTTGTGCTTGTATTTAAAAATGCTGTTGTCATTTGCTGCCCACATAAGCACGCTTGGTTGATTTAGGATAAGTACACAACACACACTCTGAAGCAATTCTGAGTAGCCCTGTGAACAGTGCTTGAGATCCTGGGAAGGCCTTGTCCCTTTTTATGCTTTGCACATTAAACAAAATCCTAGGACCAATACCGTTCCTGCTCCCTTTAGTGCAGGCTCAGAAGGAGAAGCTGATAGCAGTTCTCACCTGCAATTACTCAGGTCTTCGTGGAAGAGGCAGGGACTATACCTCTCCCCTCCTGGACTGCCTGCAGAAGAGAGCTTCAGAAATTTCCATTTTGCACTCTCACTGTGCAGCATTACACGAGTAAGGAGTTTTTGTAGTGTGCCTGAGGTGAGTATCCTTTAAATTAGACCTTAGTGACTAGAGTGGCAGGTTCAGGGAGCCAAAGAGACAAACAAAAGCACGCCCTTTAAGGCACACTTTGCAGCACTAGCTCTGTAATAAGCCCCAAGGCTTCTACCTGCATTTGCTTGTAGCTCAGGGATAGAAGGAGCAGCTGCCTCCCTCAATATACTCGATGCACATCTCTCCGTCTTCCTAAATTTATTCCTCTCATATACATACTTGTCAGCTGTTCAAAGCAAGAGAGCAAAAATAATCCCTTGGCTTGTGATAGGAGCTTGTGACTCTGCCTGTGTTCTAACTAATGGGCTGTTCTCTCGCACTCTGGCACAGCTCAGCTGCATGAGGCAGAGTCAGGTTATGGGGGCTGGGAAGGATGTTGCTGTAGCTGGTTCAGGAAGACAGTGAAAGACTGAAGGACTTCACTGAGAGAGAACTGGGGGGGGATTTTGCAGATGGAAAGTTTTTAGGGTAGAAGAAGATCTGATATGTCTGAATGTCAGTGTTAGGGAGCAGAAAGAAAGAAGAAACAAGTAAGCAAATCCAGCCTGTTTGTATTATTATTATTATACTATGTATTATTTATTAATTATTATTTTAGGATCAAGCTCCAGAAGGTGCAAAAATGGAGGATTAACGCATGCTCTGGTATGAAAGGTATGGAAACTGCATCTCTGAAGTCGTTAGTACTTCTGCAGGCTGTGGAACAGAGGCACATGGCTTGCTAAGGTCTCAGTTTCCAGCTGCTAACAGTGTCGAGGACAAAAGGATTTATATCCATAGAGTACAACTTGTGTGCTTCCCCCTGCTGCTGCAGCCCAAAGCATGGCTCCTGGAGGCAGAAGCAGTGTGTGTGTGTGGGGGGGGAAATTGTGCTCCACAGGCAAAAAAAGTATTTTCTTAACTGCAGGATCCAAGCATCTTTTCCTGTGCAAATGACCTTGCTCTTTTTGTCTTTTTGCAGTATAAGTGGACCGTCTGGCAGGTGATAACTTGCTGCTGAGATGGAAGTGCCAAGCGTCAAAGACTTCCAGTGGAAAACTCTGGCTCCTTTGCCCAGCCCAAGGGTTTATTGCTCCCTTGTGGAGGCTGGTGGGCAAGTCTTCGCTATTGGGGGTTGTGATGACAATGGAACTCCCATGGACTGTTTTGAGGTCTACTCTCCTGAAGCTAACCAGTGGAATTCTCTTCCTCCAATGCCTACAGCCAGGGCTGGAGTCGCTGTAGCTACCCTAGGCAAGAGGATAATGGTGATTGGAGGAGTTGGAGCTAACCAGATGCCCCTGAAGATTGTGGAGATGTACAACATAGATGAGGGCAAGTGGAAGAAGAGGAACTCCTTGCGGGAATCCTCTATGGGAATCTCTGTGTCTGTAAAAGGCAAGAATGTTCCTTCTGCTCCTGCAGATTGTGGCAACATAACAGTGGTGGTTAGGGTCCCTCAGAGTATTTCTCCTAATTAATTTGATTGGCAGGGTAGAGTGATTTCTTCTTCCTCAGAGACAGATATGTTCAATGGGGAGCTATTAAGTAATTTCTGCTATACTGTGAATATGTCCTGACTCTGACCTCTTGTGCCTGAATTGTTGGAAAGACCATCTTTGACTTGCTCAGTGTAAGATCAGGAGCTTTTCAACAGCCTGGCCTAGAATGAGCTGTGATATCTGTCTTGTAATTGGAGTGCACCATCTGTTCTTATGACCTGCTCTTCGCTTGTTAAAAACAGCTGTCAGGCATGTTCTGTATTCCTGCCAAATACAGCATGGCCTGTTTTCTGCAGAACTGTTTGTCTAGTTCTTGAGAGATAAATAATTCCAGCAAAAAGTAAGTTCTGGTGTGTGCGATAAATTTGAAGGATTTTGTTTTTGCAGAGCAGTGTATGAGGAACATAAGGCCATTGTCTAGAAAGCTGTGTGGCCAGTTGCCAGTGCACAGCAGAGCCTCTGACTTTCTTTATTGCCTCCTAACAGTGGCTCTATGCCTCAGTCAACAAGCTGTTGTTGTGAACCTGAGCAGTTTGTTTGCAATGCAATGGGATGAACTGCTGTTAGGAGGAAGAAAATCAGAAGCTCCTCTTCACCTAAAGAAGCCTTTGATTGCCTAAAGGAGATCTGAGGATCTAGGCTTAAATAGAAGAGTTGGAATTGTGCTAGGATCAGCAGGTGCACATTATTCACTATTGTCCTCTGCTAGTGGAACTTTATATGGAGAATATAGGCAGATACATAGTGGGACGGACTGCTATTTAGAAGTTCCTACCTTACAGTGGGAATTGATGTAAATGATCTAGAGCAGGGTGGCCAAATTCACTTAATGTAAGAGCCACATAGGATAAATGTCAGATGTTTGAGAGCCACAAGACATGAACAAATATCACACACACATTTTTCTTGAAAAATATGCAAATTTCCTTTTTATTAACATTAAATGAAAAGGTGGAAAAATAAAAGAGGTGGAAAGAAAGAAGGAGAGAGGGAAAGCAAAGGGAAGAAGGAAGGAAGGAAGGAAGGAAGGAAGGAAAATAGATGGGGAGGGTGGGAAGAAGGAAGAGGTGGAAAGAAAGCAACTTTAACTTAAAATGCATCCTCCAAGCCCCCTACCCCTATGCCAGCTGGCTTGGCTTGGAGAAGGGATTTAAAGAGACAAATACCTTCTCCAAGCCGGCCTGGGGGTGGGTACTTTGAGAACACATTTGAAGTTGCTTTGTTTCTCTGCTCCTCCCTACCTCAAGCCTACCCAGGGAGGGGTACACTGGCTCAGGAAGGGAAGACTGATCAGGGAGGCATGCCTCCCCTTCACTTCCCTGGCTGCCCTACTGGGAGCCTCACAATATGAGTGAAAGAGCTGCATGTGGCTTCCAAGCCACAATTTGGCCACCCCTGCTCTAGGGGATCCTTTTAACAATACAAGTTAATTAGTGTTTGTGTGTAATGTGAAGTTAGCCCAGGATGAATGTTTGATGAGACAGAGGTCACTCAGCAAGCTTTTTGGCTGAAATGGGATCTGAACTGAATATCTCCACTTATTGGCCTGCCATTCCATGCCAGCCTTGAGAGTGCCAGAATGGGGCACCACACAAACAGAAAGCAACGGGCACACAGAGGACCTGGTAGTGTGGACAAAAGTGATGGGCTTCATCTTTGGGGTAGAAAGTGTGGCTCCTGAGTTTATAACAGGTTATTGGGGGGGGGGTTGAGGAATAAGACAGGGCTACTTATTTCTGCCATTGGCGCAACCGATCTGTTTTTAGCTGTGGAGGTGCGAAGCTTCTTCAAGGACAGCTGATGTAAGGCAGAAGACATATTCTTTCTTTTGTCTCTTCTGCCTTTTGTTGTTCTGTCCAGACTACAGGATCTATGCAGCAGGTGGAATGGGAGTGGATCTGCGCCCTCACAATTACATGCAGCATTATGACATGCTGAAGGACATTTGGGTGTCACTGGCAAACATGCCCACGCCCAGATATGCTGCCACCTCCTTCTTGCGGGGCACAAAGATCTACGTGCTAGGTAAGAAATGAGCCTCTCTTCATTTTGATTGAGCTTTAACCCATGGGCAGAACTGTCTCATTCCAATGAATTTTCAGTATGCCAGGATCTTTGAAAAATGTGTTCCACGCTGCCTTTCCATATCAGTGTTATTATTTCTGCCAAGAATTGTGGAAAACTGCAAAGAATAAGGGAGAGGAGAGAAACATCCAGGGTAGGTTACTGTAGTACACTCTACATGGCCCTGCCTTTGAAGACTGTCAAAAAATATAATTTAGTTAAAAATGCAGTGGCCTGGTTTCTGCCAGTGGTGGCATACAGGGGTCATATCTCCCCTGTGCCAAAAGGGCTGCACTGGTTGCCTATCCGTAATCACACAGTTTGAAATACTGGTTCTTACTAAGTCCGAAACGGCTTAGGACCAGGGTGCCTAAGGGGACAGCCTCTTTCTGTATTGCCAGCTCCCTTGTTTACATTCTTATTTCAAATACTACTCCTGGTAACTCCAACTGTTCACTACCCTTTGAAGCTTTCCTAGGGTTGTCAACAACCTACAGAAGAAAACAAAATGCTGTATCTCTTTAACAGAGGCTTAGTGGGATGTTATTGTTTCATTTTAAGTTGTTTGCCACCTCAATCAGATTCTCAAGAGTATGGGATGTAAACATTTTAAATGAAACTATTTGAAAATCTCTGTGTCTTGCATATAGAAATCTCTTGATTTCTATAAGTTATCTGGGAATTGAGCAGACTGATCTCTCCTCTTTCTGTCCCCCCCCCCAATTACTCCTCCCAACATTCTGGGCCTTCTGGAGTCTGCTGAGACCTGTGTGAGCCAAAACTTCCCATTTTATCTGAGTCGGCAAAACCTCCCATTTTATCTGTGAGTGGTCTGCCACTTTACTCTTAGATATAGTACAAGCTGGGAGGGCAGGAAGCAGGAACAATTTGGGAGCACCTCCATCCAATCTTTTAATACAGGAATCATTCAGCTCTCAGGGGCTTAAGCGAGCTAATTTTCCCTCCTCCCTTATGCCATTGACTGACTCTCAGCTGCTGTCAGCATTCCATGCTGGGTTTTTTAAATTTTATTTTCATATTCTGGGGAGTCCCCTGAGTATATAGAACTTGTACCTTGTCCCTGGGTGGCATGGTTTTGCTGCTTTCCTGACTGGTACTGCTGCCAGCCTCTTTATTATTAGACTAGGAGTAAGGCTCATTGTGGGAAGAAATACAACAGTCTCTAGAAGGAAGCTTCAGGTGAGTGTCCCGGCTGTGGCTGGTGAGGTGGCAGAGAGAAGGGGAAAATAGAGAGAGGCAAAACATTTTTATTTCCTTCTGCTTAGACTATGAGGCAGGGCTGTCTCAAGTCATTTTGCTGCCCCAAGTGGGTAGTATGGGAGGACAGCCTCATGGTAAAAGGTATCG